AATGAAGGCAGTATGACTCAGGTTCACCCTGAAACTTGTAGGAGCTGTATGGTTTGAAAAATAAAAGTTTAAAAATTAAAAATTACGGAGGTGTGCACACAATGAGGTTTCAAACAGAAGTTTCAATACAAACCAGGTTTGAGCAAGTTCTGTGCAGGAGGAAACTATGTATACAGGCACAACAAAAAAGGTTCACTATGAGTGTTTGTGTCTCTTTAAAAAAAAAAAACTACAAAAGACAACAGCAACAATATTTGTCAACGTTCTATTATTTCATACATGAATGCCATTTTAACTAAATATATATATATATCTTCAAAATCTTGCAAGAACATCAAATCAAGCAACTGGATTTAATTCCCAAAAGACAGTAAAAAGGAAATCTCCAATTTGGCTTACAGCAGTTTTCTTTCCCAAGAACAAACTTTTTTTTTTTTTTTTTTGTAATACAACAAACAGAAGAGGAGGAAAAAAGAACCGGTCTTTTCATACCAACAGAAAAAAGCTCAGAGGAAAAATCCAGTTTCTTGAAATCTGAATGGAAATCATGCCAACTATTTTCATTAAAACATAGTAACACTTACTCTCCTAGACTTCGGTCACAAAATGTAAATGCATTTCAGGAAGAAAAAAGAAATTAGTTATAGTAAAGGAAATTACAGTGCGATAAAAATAATATTAGTGGATCATACAGTAAATTACACCAGGATTGTTTGACATCCCACTGATTAATTAACGTCTTCAAACAACTTTAAAATTAATTATAGTACTTCTTATGCTCTGCAGGTAAGCATCTATATCTAAATTTGCAGAATTAATAAATAATGAATTTTTAAAAAGCACTTTTAACACTTGTATTTTGAAATGCAACAAAACCAGTACAAGTAATAAATTTATGTGTATCATTAAATTTTTCAGTCTGTAAAAAGATGTGTGCTCACCACATCTTCCATATACATTTAATATCAGTATCACTGATAAACAGGTAAACATAGAAATGCAACATTCCCAGCAACCATGAACTGCTTCTATTATGTCTCTTGAATAAAGAACAAAATAAAACAGGAAGCCTGCTAACACACCCTAAACAGCAAAGACTCCTTATTGAGAGCGGGCAATCAATGGTGAATCCAAAGTAGTCCCTATTTCCACTAGGATCATTAGTCTTTCATTCCACAGAGCTCAAGTTTGAAAGTTTTTAGCAAATGCACCCCTCGGTGAGCCCTAAATGCCAGGCAGAACCTAAGGAAGTGCCTGCAAACTCTATCGGACTTTGTACACAACAGTCATTATCACAAACTTCACATGGTAACAAATAGCACCTCAAACTGAAGAGCATCTAAGGCTGTTTGAATGCCTATCAGCAAGTCATAGAATAACAGAATGGTCTGGGTTGGAAGGGACCTTTAAAGATCATCTAGTCCAACACCCAGGCCATGGGCAGGAACATCTTTCACTAGATTAGGTTGCTCAACAACCATCATCTGGCCACTGATAAAAGCTAGGAGTCACCATAACCTTTATGGGAAGATGAAAGCACGACCGGAAAAGATCAAGGAAGTCTGAGCTCTACAGACTAAACTATTTCATTGTGATCCCTCTCAGAAAGAGAGACAGAAGAGGGGGGAGGGAGTTCATTCATCACTTACTCATGGCCCAGCAGCCACACAAAGGAAGCTGGCTGGCATTTATTTATACGAGGAGGAAGCACTAGTAATCTGAAACAAAAGTAGACCCAATATTTAAGATTAGATTATACAAAAGATGCTTGCTTCCAGATCAGATTTGGCCAAACAAAACTATTCTTTAAACTAATTCTTTAAATCTAACAGCAATCATAACCAAAACTCAAAAAATACTTATTTGTTAGATTGCCAAACTGACCCAGTTCTTGCACATTTGAAAACTGGCATCTTGCAGCAGAGTAGCAAACTTAACCGTCAGTTTTGAAGATGATGATAAGAGGTGTTTTGGGATTTGAAGTTCAGTTTTATGTGATCTTGATACAGTTTGGAATACTATTTTGACATGAGATTGTACTAACGGGGTCTCCTTGATCCTGTCAAAGTTCTTCCATTCTCAGTTTGAGCAACAACACACCATTGTCTGTTAGTTCCCAGACAGTGCACCACCTTAACTATTTGGCAATATTGGTAACAGAAAGAAATTATTTTGCAATAAGTCTCACATATTTTTAGTGGGAATTCGTTTAAAAAAAACCCTGCCTTTGTCAGAAAAATTCAGTATCAGCATCAAAGCAAGGAGGAATAAACAAGAGAAATGAGGTGGCTCATTAAAGTTAAAATAACTCTATTTCAAATACTAACATTACACGAGAAGTAATTAAAATGGGTACTCCAAAGTTAAACCACCTTATATTCTCACCTCTTTCTGATCAACCTGGAGTGCTGATTTTAGGATATCTCTAAGCTGTGTTAATTGTCTTCTTTCCTCATCTTGTGCTTGTTTAATCTTGAATGAATAAAAACACAGGTTAAAAATAACATTATTATTTCTTTTCAACATGGTTCTTTCAAACTTGCTACTTAATTTGTTCCTTTTTCTGTGAAATGTTCAGCTTTTTAGGATTTAAAACACAGAGAAAAAAGATAACCTGATGAGTTTATTTTCATTTATATCTTCAGAAAACTTGATAATGGCTAGGATGTTGCTGGGTTAAGGCTTTGGTATTGTCTCACACTGTTCTTGCTTCCTTGTGTTCTATTTGAAACCATATGTTATTTTCCACTTAGTCAGTAAACATTTTAGAGCAAAGGCTGTTTTTCTAACATTTTACACAGTAGGGTCTTGAATTGAAACTAAGGCTTCTGGATAGTATATTAAAACAAAATTTTACTCAAAAATCTACTCAAAGCCTTAAAATGCTGACTATTAAAAGTCAGCCAACCCAAACCAAAATGGTCACAGTTTTACTGTAAAAAGCTAAGTTTACTACACAAATGTGAAAGGTTGATACTCACAGTATAAAGATCTGTAGAGAGTGTCTCAATTGAAGGCTTGAGACTTTCAACTGCTTTTAACCCATCCTGAAAGAAACTTAAAAGAAACAAAAAGCATACTGTTATTAAACTTTACTTTGTATTTTCAGTTTTAAAAGTTGCCAAAGGAAGATGTGCACATTATTATGCCATGGCATAAACTTCAAAACGTTAAACATCTATTTTTTATGCATCTTGGACTGATCCACCTCTTGATTTCCATCATAGATTATTCTAACACGCAAAATCCCAATTAGGTTCAGAACTGCCACAACCCACTCCATGTTTTCCTCATTCTCATCTCAAATACAGGTTCTCATCCCACTTTTTGAAGGTCCAGAACAAGCAAGACTCATTCGTAGCACAGCAAAAGCTCTATTAGATATAAAATAACTGTGACTTCTTGAAGCCAAATAATTTCATGTCAGATGTAATCTTCCTACTAAAGAAAAACTCCTTTGTTTCCCAAGCTTTAATTATGGCCTATGGGCAAACTAAATACGTTACATCTTACTGTACCATATGTATTTTTGTATTGGCACAGTAATGTTATCTATGTCAAGTATTCCGCTCTTAAAAAAAAAGTGAGAATTAAAAATAAGTTTAAAGAATCCACAACTACACGCGCATTTGGTTAAAAATTGCTCCATCATTCGCAACAGAAAATATTTTCACTCTGGGAAGCAGACATGAAAGTGACAACACAACACAGCATTTATGTTGTTGAAATCTTATTAAATGGACAGAGCAGATGAATGACACAGTACAAGCAAAACTGATTTTAAAATCAACATAACTATACAGCAAAAAAACCTACATAGATGCAGACTTGTCTTTTAAGATGAAAACTTACTTATTTGAACAGGTTAATAGGGGGCTTTTTCAAATTTATAGCTATGACTTTATTGCTCTATTATTGATCTGCAAGACTACGATAAAAAAAGCACATCATTCCAATGAGAGTTTTGCGTTTTATTACTGAGTCCTCTAATTAATTAGAGAAAGAGTGATTCTTTCAATACAGTTTTATCCCACTGCTTGTGCAATTTATTTTTCTTAAGCACAGAATTAATTTAGACCTATACTAGTCAGACTCAAAAAAGCCTGTCAAAACAAATGGACCGCTAACTAATAGACCAAACTAGTAAGTCCATTTCAATGAAACGTGCAAAATTATTGGGCATCACTCCTTTGGAACACACAATTATATTCTATGTGACTAGCTCAACCTCATTACATGTTTTGAGATACAGTAACAAAAACAATGACTAATCTATGACAACAGCAAATTGTCAAAAGACATCAGCGAGAATAGTTGAATCAGATTTATTTTGGGGGAAAAAAAAAAAAATCTAGAAAAGTGTTATGATGATGTCAAAAGTTTAAAACAAAACATTGCTCCAGTTATTGTGTAGATATAAAGAAAACTAAAACATACTTGCACTGAGCATGAAAATACTTGATCAAGTTCTGAAGCAAGTCCACTCCTTTTTTAATCTTGATTTCATTGACTTTCAGGAGGTACTGTTAAAACAGTAATTCACAAAAGAAATTAATTATTACTGCTACAGTATTTTTTAAAATATTTTATTTTCTGTTATATTTCAACAAGCTTTAACAGTTGAAGATTTAGAAGACCTAAAAGAGAATGCATCAAAGAGTGGCTTCAAGGGTTAACTACACAAAAGTAATTGTCACTGCTGATTTTTGATACTCTGTGGGGATAGTTCACTATGATTAGTTCAAAATTGTTAAAACATCCTTCATGGCTCCTAGTGCAAGCCTGTGTTAAAGGAAGCATAAAAGGCTTTCTGTAGTAAATTTAGAAACTCATTCTTAATGGCAGCAGCCCATCTAGGTAGCTATTTCACTGGTATTTAAATTCATTGCTAAACAGATGTCATTAAGGAAGAAAGCAGTTTACTCAAAAAAAGTAAGGGATCATTTTAACCATTTTTAAAACCTGCCTTCCGATTTTATCATTTTCTCTATCAATTCCTTATACATGGTAATTACAGCAAATTATAGCTTAAAAATCTACTGTTAAGCTAAAAAAAAATATGCAATTAGTGTCCTTTTGTCCTCCCCTGAATACCATAGCACAAAAGATGTCAGCCATGCAAGCAGAAGTAAGATTGACCAAATATTTACAGGACTCCTTAACTGTCCATTAAAAGATGACAATTTTTAACCCCTGCTTAGACAGTGACCTCCAAGCAAAGGAGTGAAAGTCTTCTTAGCAATGGTCTAATGCATCTGGTTTTCCCCTACTCACAGTACACCCTAAATGTTTTAAGCCCACTGAAATAAAGCAGTATCCAAGTGCCAGCTTTCAATGTTGCAGCTTTTTACGCTGGTTCCAGTGAACAGATGATTAGCCTAAATATAGACATGTGCACTGGGTAGTATTTAGTTAGAAGAATCACCTCTCTAGCTCCTGTTAATTTAAAATGGAGCTCTAGGCACCTGGTATTTGGTTCACTTTCACAATTTATAGAGACAGCCTGTAGTTATGATACAACTACAATATGTCACACTTCTGATTTACTAACAAAACTAGAAGAGGGTCCCCTTTTATGACTATTCAGAACTAACTGAATTTAAACTTACTTTTCCCAAAATCAGAAGAGAAACAGGATACACTTCAGCTACTCCATATTTAAGGAAACTTGATTCAATTTCACAGACTTCATCCTCCATTTTATTATCACTACAACTGACTAAAATGAACTCCTCCTTTACGGTGACACAGGAAGAGAGAAGCATCTGTTCCTGGTTGTTTCTTAGGAAGGATACAGATGGGCAATTTGCTGGCAACATCCATATGTTTATTGGGTACTCAAGCCCCTTCACCAGTTTTTAATACCTTAGTCTGACTCCGTATAAGAATGCGAAGCTTTTCTACTCAGTATCAGTGCAAACAGTTACTAAAAGTGGTATTCAGGACAACTGCTGATAAGCTATGTTGGCATATGAGTCAAATTAGCTCTAATCATCATAGTAAAAGCAGAAGAAACACCCATGGTATATTTTTGAGTCAATGCATAGAAAGAACGAACAATTCAAGCAACTTGAATTCCCAACTGCGGAACCTGACATGTCCTTAAACGAATCAATTCAAAAATATTCACATCAGACTTAACATACGGTGAAATCACAAAGATTTCAAAGTAGAAACATTCTGAAACATCTTGAAAGACAACTGTATTCCCTCCTTAGCACTTTTTCTTCAGCACCAGCCCAACAGTGTGCTAGACTGAAGTGTCTCCTCATAATAACGCAACAGCTGTCAGCATAGGGAACAGTTCAGAGAATGATCTAGGACTTAAAATAACTTACAGTGAAGCACTAGTGTAAAGCCTTATTTATTATCATCTCTTAGTGTTTGATTGATTTCTGCATTATTTACTTATTCTACAATTTACTTGTTAAGTGAAAATTGAAGAGATCTAAATTCCCTGCAAAGTTAGCACATCAGGATAAAAAAGATGTGGTTTAGCACATGGAGTCCACTAATAGCTTGGCATTTCCCTTCAACATCAGAGTTGCCATTAAACAATTGCATTTCTCAAAATTTTCCTAAAAATATTAACAGAACAACATGAATTTCACATTGACTCTTACCTCACACATCTGTAACTGGAAGAACCTTCTTTCTTTCTCCATCTCTTCTGCAATCTCAGCTCCACTTATTTCTGTACGGATCATCCCATGCAGCTTTGCATGCTCTTTTTTCTCCTTCTCTATTTTCGTACTATAAGGCAAAGAATCAGTCAATAAAGTGAGAAATCCACAGCCTCTCAGGAAATATAATTATTCACAAAGTCTACTGACAGATGCAGACCCAAACTCTTGTAGCTTTGCATATGTCTTACTTCCAGATGACATTTCATTTGGAATTTGACAATGACTAAAGATCAGCAATGACATACAGTAGCTGAAATCTAAGTCAATCATCTATTAAAATAATGTCTTGACAGATATTCCAAAAGAAGATACTAAATGAGAGGAAGATACTAAGTTCTTGCATCGAAGAAGAAAAATCCAGAAACAAAATAATGAATTTTAATTTAAAATGCAGGGAGATGTTTAATCCCAACTGACCAAACACTGGTTAACAGACTTCAATTATGTCATCAGATTTATTGAGTCTTGCCTGTCATCAAGTCATCTTCTATATATACAGGGTTCCCTAAGCCAAAATCACAGTTGCCATCTCTACTTGCTACTGAGCCAGTTGGCACTGGGAATGCCGGCCAGCCGGCTGCGTTGCAGACTTCTAAGTCTGCTAGACCAGCTGTCCTAATTCCCTAAAAGTTTCCATGAATGTTTTCCAAGACCTCTGAATAAAACAGGTTCTCCTGCAGAATATAAATGAATAGCCAATGCCTGCCATAGAGTATAACTCCCCTAAACACACTTTTGCGTTTGTTAAAGCTATTCTCCATGTTACTCCTAAAGGCAGCAGCATAATTATACTGGCCAGTTAGACTAGCCTGACATGAAAAAAAGATATTAATAAAAGAAAATACGTGATGGTGTTTACTTTTTGGTGAGAGACTTTTAGTTTGCCATTTAAAAGCTGAAGATTCTGGAAAGAGCTTCCTGAGGAAATGCTATACTGCTTTTGAGCAAGAGGAAGCATTACACAGGAATACAGGAAGCAGATGAGAGGAACAAATAACACACGCACTGTCGTACCTCCTCTTGGGCAGTCAAGTGTCTCTCAGCTCTCTCTCTGAAAAGATGACATGTCTCAAGTGCTCTCTTAACCTGATGTTAACAATACCCTAACAGCTTATGGGAAAATGCCCTAGATGGTCTAAGGACTTCCAGTCAACAATATATTCTGTATTTATACTTCTCAAGAATGAGAAACTGCCTCCTCTTACACCTCAAGCAGCAAGGGAAATCTAGAATTAATCCCATTAATCCCGTGCCGTAACATTCCCCCAGGGAAACATTTTGAACAGCAACTCAAAAAGCACCACTGCGCTCTGGGTAGCGGCAGGCACGGCAGAGCCAGCCCCATGCAGTATTCCGGCAGCCAGCACATCCAGCCAGCACTGCACTCCTCAGCCCACTGCGTCCTGCCAGAAACAGATGTTCGGAGGGAAGCTCCTCTCCTTTGAAATAAATATTCTGAAAACTCTCACTCTCCTGAATAAAAACTCAATTCCAGAATGTTCTGTTTTCATCAAAAATAAGTCTGTACTCTTACCCACTTACTGCCAATTATGCCATTTTGTAGCCACAGAATACAGAGTCCAAACACAAGAATTAACCAGACATCAACCATGAACAAGGAAGATAAACCATTACAAAGATTCACAGAAAGTGACAAATATGCAGTTTCTAGTGGAGAGTTTACATTATATCAAACTTGATAGTTCTAAAAAAGTCAAACCTCAGAGCACAGATCCAGGACAGTTTTAGTTGTCTCAATTTCCACATTAATCTAACAATTCATGAAGCCAGAGAATTTACTGAAATACAAGTCAAGTCTAACAATACAATAGCAATTGATAGTTATATTTTCATTGTTTACAGAGAACAATACTCGAACATAGGACGATATAACCACCTCTAAAATTTTAAGAGTTTATTAGCATGTCATAAGGTATCTCTAAATGCTAGTTAAACAAAAGGACAACTAATACTGCCAAAGATTCAAACATTATGCACAATATTACAGCATACATTGTTTTATGAAATTGAATTCCTTTTAAAGGAAGAGCTAGATTTCAGTGAGAGAGTCCTTTCTACTCTTTAAAGGATAAATCATACTCCAAAGGCAGAGAGTAGTTAAATCAAGACTAAAGCATACTAACATCTACCAAGTAATTCAGAGAAACAAGACATCCTTGAAGCTGTTTGCTGGAGCTTAAGGTTCCATGGCTTCAAAAACTTCAGAGATACAGTACAAAAAAAACCCCAAACCATCACTTGGTGACAAGTACCAGAGATAAATGATCGTGTATTTCCCATTTACATTTCCTTATTATTTAGGCTTTTAGTCTGTAACTACATTTTAGCTTTGTAATACTGAATTTAACCTGTTGTTTTGCTACAGTAATATGCTAGCTCCTATCTAACTGATACCACAGGGCACTGTTTCTAGGGAAACAAAGAAACCACGTACAGCAGTGTTGCATGCAAATCTTTTGAGTGCTAAAGGTTCGCTGTGTTTCCTATCCAAATGCAAGGGTCAACCCAGCTCCAAGTGTCACTTGACATTAACCAAATCCTTCTGGCAAAGACAGTTCTACAATGTACCACTGTGGGATTTCCAAATATTGCAGGGTATTCAGGTTTTCCAGGCAGATCAATTAAGCAAAATCAACAAGAAAACTAGGAAAACTCTAGAAAAATCCTCTAGAAGCAATAAGAAAGAAGTAAATGTTTTGTAAAGCTGATGTTCTTGAAGCTCCGACAGCACATATATAGAGTTTGCTGACTAAGATTAAAATCTGAGCACACTTCAGTCCATTTACAATGCAGCTGCACATGACTAATATACAGTGAGCTTAGATTTCTGTAAGAGACAAGTAAAGCTGAAATAAACGATAAAGAATTACAACAGAAAAGTTGATTAGATACAAAATAAACGTCCTTGCCCATTCAGTTTCCACTATATGACTATTTTTACAGCTTCAATCTGAAAAGCAACTGGTTTTCAATATAAATTTTAATCTGTATTATTTCAAAGAAATCCATTTTGTCATACAGATCATGGTATAAATAAACATCAAAGTAGGCTTTTTTTTTTTTTTAACTTTAAAAAGGACAGGACCTATTTTACTGTTTAACAAGCCAATGACTGGTGTTTATTTTCAGCCAGTGAACAAGGGTAAACAACTAGAACACCCTGTGTACATACAGCAGTAGTGAACTGGCTGGCTGGAGAGCAGCTCTCTTCTTCTCCTTCCCCATAGAGCAGTAACCCAGGCTGAGCCTGAGTATGTACGTGAGAAGGTGAAGAGACTCGGAACAGCACCTAGAAGGCAGAGACTTTAATGGGGAGCACTCTGGAAAATGCAGTGCTTCCAAGGGCTACTTTGTTTGACAAAATAACATTACATATTTTAATTTCAAATATCCTTTCTTTGTCTAGACTTTTTCAGCCTGACTGTCCAATTTCAGCTCTGGCATTTTAGCCTTTCAGTGAGCGAGCCTCCATCTTATTTTCTCCCACTGTCTGTCAAGGTTGACAATGAAGCACGACTCACTCTCTTATCACCCAAGTCCTGAATGGAGAAGTCATCTTTCCCCTTTGGAAATGCTAGAAAGCTTTTCCCCTTCACTCATCCTGCATTGGAGGATGGGGGAGAAGAGGGCAGAGTGAGCAAAATGTGTCCAGGTCTTTCCACTATTTCACCCATAATATCTGCAGATCCATTCAAAGCTTTTTCTATTTAATTTGCCGGTAATCTCTTTCAAAATAAAAAGACTTACTATGAAATCTCAGGCTCAGAGCAGCATATTGCGAATGTTGTTTACCTGGATTTTAGTAAAGCCTTTGACACCATTTCCCACAGCATTCTCCTGGAGAAACTGGCTGCTCATGGCTTGGATGAGCGTACTCTTCGCTGGGGGAAATACTGGCTGGGTGGCCAGGCTCAAAAAGTTGTGATGAATGGAGTTAAATCCAGTTGGTGGCCGGTCACAAATGGTGTCACCTAGGGCTCAGTATTGGGGCCAGTTCTGTTTAATATCTTTATCAATGATCTGGACGAGGGGATCGAGTGCTCCCTCAGTAAGTTTGCAGATGACACCAAGTTGAGAGGGAGTGTTGATCTGCTTGAGGGTAGGAAAGGTCTACAGAGAGATCTGGACAGGCTGCATTGATGGGCCCATGCCAACAGTATGAAGTTCAACAAGGCCAAGCGCTGGGTCCTGCACTTGTGTATCAACAACCCCATGAAGAGCTACAGGCTTGGGGAAGACTGGTTGGGAAGCTGTTCCGCAGAAAAGGACCTGGGGGCGTTGGTTGACAGTCAGCTGAATATAAGCCAGCAGTGTGCCCGGGTGGCCAAGAAGGCCAACAGCATCCTGGCGTCTATCAGGAATAGTGTGGTGAGCAAGACTAGGTAAGTGACCCTGTACTCGACACTGGTGAGGACCCACCTTGTCCTATGAGGAGCAGCTGAGGGAACTAGGGTTGTTTAGTCTGGAGAAAAGGAGGCTCAGGGAAGACCTTATCGCTCTCTACAAGTACCTCAAAGGAGGTTGTAGTGAGGTGGGAGTTGTCTCTTCTCCCAAGTAACAAGCGATAGCACAAGAAGAAACGGCCTCAAGTTGAGCCAGTGGAGGTTTAGATTGGATATTATGAAAAATTGCTTCACCGAAAGGGTTGTGAAGCACTGGAACAGGCTGCCCAGGGAAGTGGTTGAGTCACCATCCCTGGAGGTACATGTAAACGTGGCACTTCGGGATGTGGTTTAGTGGTGGTTTCAGCAGTGTTAGGTTTACGGTTGGACTTGATGATCTTAAAGGTCTTTTCAAACCTAAATGATTGTACTATTCTATTCTATGATTCTGTATTAAAGCTACCTCATTTAGCACTTTCATTCTATGCCACTATTTTCAAGATGTGACCTCCGCTTTATCTCATGTACATGCTTCAAAAGGAAATGTGGCAGAAAAATCTACGATTTAAGAATATCAATGATCTGCTGAGTCAAGTTAGAGCTCTGAAGAAGTAATTTGAGAAAAGCTTGCAGAATTTTAAGACTAATTTTTTACATATTGTTT